ATATATAATATTCCATTAATTTTTATTATGTTACTTATTTTGAATTTATTTTTTTCAATTATTTTTAGTATTACATAAATAAAATTGTTTTGTGAATTCATCATCGATGTGCAAATCAAAGTTGCATAGATAAAAATTTTCCTATTCGTAAACGATATCTTAATTATTTTTTATGTTATCGCGATGTAATTTGTTATTTATAATTATAATGGGTCTAGAATTCATTGAAAGTTTAAGAAGAATTTAGAAAACAGAGAGAATAGTAATTTAAAATATGCTACAAAACTAAATTGGATTACTCAAAGAAACACACGGATGAAATTACAAGCACTTTGAAATAAAGGAGATTTCTTGGATAATTGTTTTGAAAGCATTGGTTTTGTTAATTTCTGGCTTTGGATATTTTGATATTTTGTATAATTTTATTGAATATAAAAATTAATAATAAATTGCGATAATCACAAAATTAAAAAAATTATGTTTTTATACATAATCTGTTACAATATATAAATTAATTAATTAATGACATCAAAAGATTATTTTTCCTTTTAAAGCAATATATATTAAATCGTGATTCTATTAAAAAAAATTACTGATGTATTCTTGTTATTCTATTTTTAAATCATAATTCTATTGACAGAAATAGTTTCATGAAGCTATGAATTAAATGTACATCTAAAAGTATTATTTAATTGCAATAAACGTTAGTTCTATCGCGAAGTTTGCACTTCTATAAGTAAATTTTTAATAAAATCCTTTTTGATGATACTTTGACATTTAGTTTTATTAAATCGACTTTCTTAATCTGAACCACCTGCGGGATTTGTTGAACTATCTGACTAGATCCGCACAGCATGCGATAATGCGAATTTCATGTACCAAGCTATAGAAATCAACAAGAATTGTAACTTTAATATCGCAGTTATTAAATTCATCAAATTACTTGTATTTGCACAACTGTTGTTTTTCCAACAAATATATTTAATGTAAATATTGTAAATAACATTATAAAAAGGAAAATTTGAAGGAAAATTTGATAATTTTTAACAAAATTGTGATAAAATACTGTGTAGAAATTATAAGATACAATTGAAGCGCATTCGAGAATTTTAGATTACTTTGAAGTTTTTTTCTCACAAATTTATTCAATGAGCAGAATTTATTGTACCTTGCTCTATATATATATATTATATATATATATATATATATATATATATAATAATATATATATGATCGTTCTCTATCTTTATTATAATCTATCATCTATTATGTCAATTTTTACTGTATAAGAGAATATTTTTATTAGTAGAACTTTGAGGAATGCACGAGTGAATCGTTACAATTTTGTAATTCGAGCAAATATCTCTGAATATATAATTCATTATCTTCTAAAGATTGCTACGGCGACATAATGTATATGACGATTTGGACATATGTTAAGATCTTATAATTATTTATGATCCTATTCCGTTCTTCCTTTATATAGAAACATAAAAATTCTTTTCTGAATAAATGTTCCTAAATTGTAATAATGAATACACGACTGAACACTTTTGAATACTGCGCTTTTTTATTCTTTTCTATTTCAGTTATCTTAATTATCTATGTAAAAAATTAATATAAGATAAAAAGAATATTAATTCTTATTCCAAAATTTTCTGCGAATTTATGCGCATCTATACGACAATCAAATTATTTTTTTATCTTTTGTGCTATACTACGTATTTGTAATTAGATCTGTAAACGTTTATGTCCAAATAAAATCAATATGCGAGATATAGATAGCAGTTTTTTTTAAATTTAAGTTAACCTTTGTGCTATTCTTTAAACGTATTATATATTTTATTATATTTTGAAAGTCAATCGTATAAGTAAATACTTTTTGTATAAAATCAAAATAATAATATAAAATATTAGAAATATATATTTCCTGAATTCTGATGCACGGAAATATTATACGAAAATGCTATTGTTATATATTACTTGAATAATAATATCAAAACAATTTTCTCATTAGTATATTTTCAAGCGTTTAAAAATTACTAATTTTTAAAATATAAATAATTTGCATGTATTAAAAATAATTTTGTTTTATCGTTTTATACGTGTAAATCGCTTTGCGATAGTGTCCTCTGCTTTATTGATCCACGGTTCATATACTGCTTATCACGAAGCCGGTAAAACAGAATGGCTTCTGTCAAAATGGCCGAGTGTTCGTGGTC